ATCTGAGTTTGAGTCCTGGAACCTAGAACCTGAAACTCACACAAAGATGAAAGGATAGAATTGACTCCCCTCACCCAGGGTGGCATGTGCATACCCCATCATATACACAAGAGTCCTCTGGAAGGGGTCTGCAGAGATGGCTCAGTGGGTAGCGGGACTGACTGATCTTCCAGAGGACCTAGGTTCAATTCCCAGCATCCACGTGGAAGCTCACAACTCTCTGTTAATTTCTGTTTCAGGGAACATGACACCCTTTGAAAAAAACACTTCACGTGTATATACACACACATATATGTATATATATACATATGTATGTATGTATCTCCCCTCTGGAAGAGTAGCAAGTGCTCTTAATAACTGAGCCATCTTTCTACCCCAAAAGTGCTACTTAAAAATATCATAATTAGTATTATTTAATGGCATGTTGAGGTCATTATTAGTATTTATTTCACTGTCACGTGAATATATTTGCTGGAAACTTGATCACCAGTATAACCGTGTTGAGGTGGTGATATGTTTAAGAAGAGGTGGGAGGTGCACAGCTCCTGAGGCTTCCAGCATTGGACAGGGCTGAAGCCTCTCTCCAGAATTAGTTGCTGTGAAGTGAGGCTCACCCATGTGCTAATTCACATGCAGCTGATTCCTTTTATCTTGTATGCTGTAATGCAGCCAGGGCCATTCACCAGGATGTAGGAATTGGACTAGACACGTGAGACAGATGAACCTGTTTGCTTTATAAATTATGCAGCCTGGGGTATTTTGCTTTGGCTACACAGAATGGATTATCATAAGGCTCATGTAATCTAGTCATCTTTCTGGTACAAAAAATGCTTAATACCTAACTCTGAGGTAAGTCAGTAACAGTGAACATTACAGATTTATCCCCATTTTCATCCTTCTTTTTCAATGTGAGTTTGAAAAAATCACCCTCTTTTTCACAAGCTAGAAAGTGTCCTTCGTGCATTGAAGATTCAAATTGCCTCTTATTGTGTCCTGGAACACTTCTCAGAAAGAATATGAGATCACTTTTAGTACCATCGATACATTCAGGTGGATCCATTTCCTGTGGAGAAAACACACATTACATAGTTTTTGTTGTTGTTGTTGTCATAGTTTGTTTTTTGAGACAGGGTTTCTTTGTGTAGTAGTCCAGGCTGTCCTGGAACTAATTTTTAGTTCAGGGTGGCCTTGAACTTATGAAGATCTGCCTGCCTCTGACTCCCAAATGCTGGGATTAAAGACATGTGCCTCCACTGCCTGGCCCAACATTACATAAGTTTTGTTTCTTTGTTTGTTTTCAAGACAGGATTTTACTGTGTAGCTTTGGAACCTGTCCTGGAAATGGCTCTGTAGACCAGGCTGGCCTCAAACTCCACAGAGATCTACCTGCTTCTGCCTCCAGAGTGCTGGCATTAAAGGCGCGTGGCACCATCCCCAACTACATAATTTTTACAGATATAAGCAACTGGGCCTAGAGCGATGGCTTCCTGCTCAGGTCTCTCAGAGTCTGGTATTTGGCTCTTGCATCCACATGGGGAAGCTCACAAATGCCTAAACTCCAGCACCAGAGAATCCAGCTCCCCATTCTGGCCTCCAAAGAAACACATGGACACACAGTTGTGCATCAGAAAACAAATTTTTTTTANGTAGGAATTGGACTAGACACGTGAGACAGATGAACCTGTTTGCTTTATAAATTATGCAGCCTGGGGTATTTTGCTATGGCTACACAGAATGGATTATCATAAGGCTCATGTAATCTAGTCATCTTTCTGGTACAAAAAATGCTTAATACCTAACTCTGAGGTAAGTCAGTAACAGTGAACATTACAGATTTATCCCCATTTTCATCCTTCTTTTTCAATGTGAGTTTGAAAAAATCACCCTCTTTTTCACAAGCTAGAAAGTGTCCTTCGTGCATTGAAGATTCAAATTGCCTCTTATTGTGTCCTGGAACACTTCTCAGAAAGAATATGAGATCACTTTTAGTACCATCGATATATTCAGGTGGATCCATTTCCTGTGGAGAAAACACACATTACATAGTTTTTGTTGTTGTTGTTGTCATAGTTTGTTTTTTGAGACAGGGTTTCTTTGTGTAGTAGTCCAGGCTGTCCTGGAACTAATTTTTAGTTCAGGGTGGCCTTGAACTTATGAAGATCTGCCTGCCTCTGACTCCCAAATGCTGGGATTAAAGACATGTGCCTCCACTGCCTGGCCCAACATTACATAAGTTTTGTTTCTTTGTTTGTTTTCAAGACAGGATTTTACTGTGTAGCTTTGGAACCTGTCCTGGAAATGGCTCTGTAGACCAGGCTGGCCTCAAACTCCACAGAGATCTACCTGCTTCTGCCTCCAGAGTGCTGGCATTAAAGGCGCGTGGCACCATCCCCAACTACATAATTTTTACAGATATAAGCAACTGGGCCTAGAGCGATGGCTTCCTGCTCAGGTCTCTCAGAGTCTGGTATTTGGCTCTTGCATCCACATGGGGAAGCTCACAAATGCCTAAACTCCAGCACCAGAGAATCCAGCTCCCCATTCTGGCCTCCAAAGAAACACATGGACACACAGTTGTGCATCAGAAAACAAATTTTTTTTAAAAATGACTTTACCAATTTTTGTATGTGCACTATAATACTGAAAGTGTGTTACTAAACAACCTGAAGCAGCTTTACTTTTTTCAGGAGTTAAGAAAAAACTCTCTAAAGGTAGGAGTACTGACTGCTTCTCTTTCATTCCTAACTTCCTATTTTCCTGTCCATTCTGACCTTTTCCACCTCGCACCCTCATCAACACACAGGCCTCCTGGTTCCCCTATGCCCAGACCTTCCTTCTGTTCTCTTCCACCAAGGGAGTCCAGGTATGCTAATGATGAAGAGAAGTTCTAGCAGAGATGACCATCTCATCGGGCTAGTTTCAGTTCTTGTCTTCTTTAGTTGTCCTTAGCTAACATACTGATGGGCTCCCCGCTTTGGCTCAGTAGCTCTAGTTTCTGGATCATCAAGAGAGGTGTGGGAGGTGTCCGAATCTCAGCTCCTTCTTTCTGTGGTCCTGATACTACACGGCAGTGTGATTAGACCAGCAGCTGTTCTCCAGCTGAGTCTTGGGTTCCCCAATAGCCCAGCTGCACAGACTCATCTGTGGCCCCTGACTCTGCTTTCCTGCCAAGCACAACAGTGCACAGTGGTCTGTCCTTTCTGTCCTGAGTTTAGTACAAGCACTGATTCCTGTATGTTTTGTCCAGACACCAAGGTCCTAGTCAGGATTAGCTGACTAGAAACTGTAGTCTCTCCCACCAGAGCTGCTAGGAGTGCCTGGTTTTACCTATTCTCACATCTTGTCTCCCTTTCAGGATGTATTAGAAAATATTAGAACTGCCCAAGGTTCTTCCATATTAATTTTGGAGTTGATTTTGACCACATGGCAGTAAAAATCCCCATGATCCTATGGACTGACCAAGAAATCTCTAAAATTAAAAATGCATTCTATCTTTTTGAGATGCATAGAAGATTCAGAAGGTGTTCTTTCGACAGAACTAGTTAAATTGACAGCCATAGTTTTTGGATATTTACCAACCTAGTATGGGCCGTGACAGACGGTAGTATAAGTTGCCTTCTGATTAGTACCTGCTTCTGAAGCTGTGCCTGGTCAACTGTTTGTAGCCACACCTGTTGTCAACGACTTTGAAAGATTATATTTTGATATTGGCCCCTCGTATACACAAAGACTGCTTATAGCCGCTACTTTACAGGGAAAGACAGTGAGAGATCTTCTCTCCCAACAAAGAAATCAAGGCCCGGAGACAAGGGCTGCAGGGCCTCCTGGAAGCTGCTTTGGGTGTGGTCTTATGGCACCTCAGATTAGGCAGTGTTCTGATAGATAGCACACACAGTAAGCCCAGGGAAGAACAAGGAACCAGGAACTGTGCTGAAGTTGCAGGAGAGAGAAACAGTGAAGTAACAAATGTAGATCAAAGAAAGATGCCTAAGGGAATCAATCCCCTGCCAGGAATCGAGCAGAGGGATCAGGCCCCAAGACAATATATAGGGCAATCCAGCAGTCTGGGTCCCCCCCCCCCCCCAAGGAAATCCATTCAGGTCCTTTGCAGAGCAACCCCAGGCAATGCAGGGCTCAATCTCAGCTCTGCCTTTTACAGTTTAACTCCTGCAATGGGGATGCAAGCTCTCTCCACTGGGGTTTATGGATCTTTATGGGAAGGCACTGCAGGATTATTATTGGGGAGAGGTAGCACCATCATGCAAGGGGGATGCTTGTTGCTTCTGGAGTCATTGACTGCTGATTTTGAAGGAGAAATCAAGGATATGCCTCACTCACCTAATGGAGCCACTGTGGTAAAGACAGGCCAGAGATTTGCACAATTAATTTTACTTTCTAAAGTACAAATCAGAAATTAAGTCAAGGGAGGTAAGAGAGGAGAAGCTGGGTTTGATTCATCTGATACCTATTGGCTCTAAGCCATAGGTCCACAGTGACCAAACTCACTTTGTTTATAAATGGAAAAGGCGTTTCTGGTCTTCTGGATACTGGTGCGGATATTTCTGCTATAACTGCCAGTCGATGGCCTTTAAGCCTAAAATGGAGACTATTACACAGTTACAAGGGATTGATCAAACTCAAAATCTTGAACAAAGTAGCAATGAACTTCACTGGAGAGACGGAGAGGGCCATGAAGAAACTTTTCAGCCATACTTTTTTCCTCATTTACCTATAAATTTGTGGGACTGAGACATTATGAACCGAATTGGGGTATATTTATATTTCCTCAACACAGTTATTGCTAATCAAGTGTTTCAGCAAGGGCTGTTACCCAATCAAGGACTGGGCAAGGAAAATGAGGGAAGGATTGATCTTATCATACCTAGCAGAAGTGCTTCCAGGGCAGGATCAGAGTACTTTTAGGAGATGCCACTGTACTCCATACAGACCATTTATTTGGAAAAGTGACGAGCCTGTATGGGTTAACAGTGGCCTCTACCAGAAGGAAAATGACAAGCTGCCCAGCAGTTAGTGCAGGAACAGCTGGATAATGGTCACATCATGTCCTGGAATTCTCCCGTTTTTGTGATTAAAAAGAAGTCATGAAAATGGAGATTAATACATGATTTAAGAGATGTTAATGAGACCATGCAGCCCATGAGGGCTTTATATAGCCTGGATTGCCTTCTCCTACAGCTATACCAAAAAAAAAATACTCATAAGACTATTATAGCTTGAAGGGATTGTTTTTATACTATCCCTTTGGCATGCCAATGATTTGCATTTGGTGTTCTATCAGTTAATTTCAAATAGTCAATGGAGCATCTTGCCTCAGAGCATGGCAAACAGCGCTACATTATGCCAGAAATTTGTGGTTCAGGCTATGCAAAATGTTATAGACCAATTTCCACAAGTTTATATTGTCAGTCATATGGATGCTATCTTGCTTGCCTATAAAAATGAAGACGTTTTGCTTGAGACATGTGGACAACTTTGACAGAGTCTTACCCATGCAGGGTTAGTTATTGCCCCAGGGAAAGTGCAAAGGCACCTGCCTTGCCAGTATTTAGATCATGTGTTATCCTAAAGAAATGAAACCTCAGAAATTAGAAATTAGGAAGGATAGCTTACAGAATCTGAATGATTTTCATTGATTGTTAGGAGATATTCAATGACTGAGACATTATTTAAAATTCCCCACAGTGTTCCTTAAGCCATTAAGTGAAATTCTTTAGGCGAGCTGTGACCTGAATTCTACCAGAGAGCTTACAGACTCTGGTAGACAGGTACTGATACAGGTGAAATATGCAATACAAAACAGCAGGTACATTATATTAATTATGATCCACCTAGGCAGCATGTATATTACCTAAAAAACCTACTCCCACGGTGGTATTATGGCAAATGGTCTGCTTGTATGGATACACCATCCCATTTCGCCAGTCAAGGTATTAAACATTTATTTTGAAGCAGTAACTTGTTTAGTACAGAAGAACAGGATGGAATCTGGGTGATATTTTGGCAGGGAACCTACTGTGATCAATGTTTCTTACACTAAGCAACAGATTGATCCGTTATTTCTAAATAATGATTCTTAGGCAATTGTGTTTGCTCAATTTGAAGAGTAGACTGATAATCTTTTCCCAACTGATCGATTGCTGCAAATCACACAACTACATTTCTTTATTTTCCAAGAAAAATTGTAATGAAAGATCCCTTAAAGGATGCTAGGTTAGTTGTTACGGCTGGTTCTTCCAATGGAAGAGCAGCGTGTGTTGTTGATAGTAAAGGACACGTGGTGCAAACAGATCCAGCCTCAGCTCAGATAGTTGCTCTGCGAACTGTTGCTGTACTGTTTCAGCTATTTGCAGGTAAGGCATTTAATTTATGGATGGGCAGTAAGTACATTTTTAAAGCTCTTCATGTACTAGAAACAGTTCCATGCATTAGGACTAGTAATTATCAAGTTAAAATGGTGTTCCAACAAATTCAAGATGCCATTCGTGAAAGAAAATTGCCAGGCTTTCTGAATCACATTAGAGCAATTCAAATCTTCCTGTTCCGTTGGCTGACAAACTTACTCAGTTGATTGCTTTATCTCAAGTTGAGCTTGCTCAGTGATCACATATTCTACATCATTAAAATAGAATAAGTTTGAGAAAGCAATTTGGATTAACAAGAGAAATTGGTCATCAGATTGTTAAGCAATGTGATATATGCCCACAATTTTACCTGTACCTTTTCAGAAAGGCCTGCTTCCTAATCATTTTTGGCAAATAAATGTTACTCATATTGCAGAGTTTGGCAAATTAAGATATGTGCATGTGACAATCAATACATACTCAGTTTTATTTATGGCCACAGCACAGGCTAGAGAAGCTACTAACCATATGATAATCCATTGCTTAAGGTGTTTTTCATTTTTGGGAATCCCTAAAATTATAATGACGAACAATAAGTCTGTGTATGTTAGTAAAGCATTTCAGCAATTTTGTTCCCAATGGAACATTGAACATAAAACAGGCATTCCTTATAATCCTCAAGGACAAATAACTGTGGAGCATGTCCATGGCTCCTTGAAAACACAACTTCAAAAGAAAAAACAGGGGAGTTATACCCTCAGTCTGTGTTGGAAAGGACACGATCCTGTTTTAATGTGCCATTGGAGTCATGTTTGTGCTTTTTTTCACAGGAAGAAAATACTGTTGCAAAATAGAGAAGTGCCAGCACTGATGACATCATAGATGCTGGTGTCCCCATAGAAGAGTCGGAGTGAGGTTCCTGAGTCAGTGTTCCTGACTCCCTTGGTGTCATCATGCTGCTGCCTGAGAAGGGATGGGAGATGGTGGTGATGGTTGGTGAGTCCCAGCTCCTTGGTGGACCTACTGCACAAACTTCCAGACCTTAGTGAGTCCTATTTACTTTGGAGCTGGACTAAGAATGCTGACTGAATATTTGGTAGTTTATCCATATTGTATCTTAGGACACAGAACTCATTTTGCCAGTATGGTGTTCAATCTGCTGTTGAAATAAAAGGACTAAGAACTGAGACCTCAGAAAATTTCCCATCCAGGGGAAAGACACTTGCTAAAGCAATGGAACTCTATTATGGAAGCAAAGAGTGACTGAGCCCTCTTCAGAAATCAGGAGGAGTGGCATGAAAATTTTTGCTGCTACTCAGAGACTGGGATAGTTTGAACTTACCTCTGAAAGGTCAGAGCAGCAATGCAACTGAACTATAGGAGGAAAAAAAAAGACTCATAGCTCACCCATCACAGACACCTCCTCTTGTCTTTTGATTAGATTGGATTTTAGAGAAATGTGATTTGACAAATTGTGTGTTTATTGTTAATTTCCATACTAGAAATATGGTACTGAGCTGTCAATGCTCGCAACTGCTCTAATTAACTATGATGATGTTACTGATTAGAAAAAGATTATAACTTGTCCGAGAGAAATTTGACATGGAAAGTCCTTAGATTTGATATGTTTAATAAGACAAATTTGGATTTTGATGTAGCTAAAAACTGTTAAAGACATCTTAGACCAATTAAAAAAGTCCATCCCCTCTTGATCATCCTCTACTCTTTTCTAGGAGACATTGTACCCATAGGAGTATATGTATCACAAAGCATTATCTGCTTGCATACTACTGTGTAGTTGTTGGTGAACTCTCTTGACAGGAAGTTGGCTCAGAGGTGCACAGCGCCTACAGATGCACTTTCCCTTAACCCTTCATTTACAGAGGCTTGTAGTCAATGGCAGGTGGATCCCTCTCCCCAGCAATCTAAGACAGGACATACATGACAGAATGTATGATGGGTAAGTCTGGAGAGTGGAAGAGGATGCCCAAGCCAGGCACAGTCTGTCCTGTAGCAGAAGCACAGGCTTTATTAAATGAATTAAAAAGGGAGGAGATTGTGGAGGCCCACAGATACGAGTCCTGTTCCACCTTGACCAAAGGTCAGAGAGTTGGAACTTATTTTCACTCTTTCAAAGTTGTTGACAACAGGTTGGCTACAAACAAGATATCCTGACCTAGGCTGTGATTTCGTGGTCTTTTGGACACTAAGATGGCCCATAGAGGTGGATCCACTCCACCCTGACCAAAGGCCACAGAATTCAAGCCTATTCCTGCCCCTTCATTTTAAAACAGGAGGTTTGACATAGGGAGTGGCTGCCTACAGGATACTTGGTCTAGGGTGTATTCACTGCATATCCTGCCTAAAACACCAGAATGCTTAACTCAGGAAATAGTGGCTTGATGACTCAAATATTGAAGCAAGTATCTGTGGTTGTCCTTTGTGTCATGTTGAATGCAGTCTTTTTCCTTCTCCCTCCCCCTCACCTTTTGGATTGGGTTATATAAGCATATGGAAAATAAATGTGGGCAGATTCAGTATCCAGTATAGACTGTAGAGCCCTCCCAGTTCTCTGTCCCTGTGTTTCTTTCCTATCTTTGTTCCTCCTACCTAATTTTTCTAATCCACATACCCCTGCCCTGGAATGTACGAACCTGTCGAGGCTGGACCCCAGCAGTAAACCACAACTCAGGGAGAGATATCTAGGACCAAGCTGAAGTTTAAAATCTAAATGAGAAGTAATCCTTGAACACAAACTCTAGTGATATGACAGGGAAATGAAGTTGGCTTTTACCTGAAATCAGCCTATGCAAGGATGGATACAGTCTGCATTAATGGGAGACCCTGAGCATGGGTCCTGGTATAGTGACATGCACCTGTAATCGGTGCAGTAGAGATGGAAGGGTTAAAAGTTCCAGGCCACCCTCAACTACATAGTTTGAGATTAGTCTGGGATACAAGAAACCCTGTCTGAATAAAAAAAAAATTCAGCTGGGGCCTTGACTGATCATCCAGAGGTCCTGAGATCAGTCCCCAGCAGCCACATGGTGGCTCATTTATAATGAGATCTTATGACCTCTTCTGGTGTATAAGCAAAGCATGCAGACAGAAAACTGTGAACTAATAAATAAATACATGTTTAAAACAAACAAAAGAGCTTTCAGCCGTCTCTTCCTCTCTGACAGACTCAGAGACAAAATGAGACCACCAAGTATCAGCACACTAGACTGAAGGGGTGGACAGCTCCCCATACTCATCCACTTCAGTGGTTGTGTCTGCTCTTGGGCTCTAGACAAAAGGTTGGCCTGAGGATATCTGACGTTTATAATTTGTTCATTAAGATAACTAAAATCAAAGTGAAATTGAATCTTACCTTAAAAGAAATGCCTTTGTCCTTACAGGAGAGAATAGACATTTTTTCATGCTTCACAGAGAGGGTTACAGCCTTTCCCCTTGAGTGACAATCTGTATATGAATGTATTATCAGTCTGGTCTGGGGATTGGCTGAAATAAATATTAATAAATGAGACCATTAATTGGAATACTTACCCTCCCCCAAACTGGCATCTATAGAAGTTTAACCAAAGAATAGGCCAGTCACAACCATGCAGTGAAGGTTTGGCCTGAACAGACCTGAAGCCCAGCTGGCCACACTCCCCTTAAATCACACTTACAGGGTGTTATAAATCATAGGTGGGCAACATGAGTGTGTTAAAGTATTTGGAGTGTGTTAAAGATAGTTTGATATTTTTCCTGATTTCTGATATTTCTCTTGAGTGTGTTAAAGATATCACAAACCCTGCCGGATATGGATGTAGACACTTATAATCCCAGCACTCTGGAGGCAGTGTCAGGTGGATCTCTGTGAGTTTTAGGTAATCCTAGTCTACAAATTGAATTCCAGGATAGCCAGGGATACATAATAAGATCCTGTCTCAAATCAGAAATAAAGCCAATCATAAAACAGAAGGTTATTCTGAGCCTAAAGACTATGTTTAACTGTTGAATGTCCAATAGAGTATTAAAGCATTTGTTGAGGCAAAAAACTTAGGATAGGACTTTTTTGTTTTCAAGAATATACATTCAACTAGGCCCCAAACTGGGATATTTGGAACTTATGTCTTGAGAGACACTCTCATGCTCTGGTGGGAGAGATATTCATTTGAAATGCCTGTGTTTTACTTTTCATTTGAGTTTTGATGGTGTCAGCAGTATGCTCAGCTATAACCAGTGGGGATAAATGATCCAATTTGAGAAGGTTCTTCTATGGAGAATAAATTGATATAGGGGAACCGGTGATACTCCTATAGACCCAGAGAGGGGTCACCTCTACCAGTGTCTTTATTGCATCTAACCCCCCTCCCCTGCTCCATCTAAAAAAGGGTGCTCTCTAAAGTGTAATTCTGTTTACTACTGTGACTTTCCATTTAAGGACAGGACCTGACATTTGAAAATGTGGGCAGTAAATGGAGTGGGGAGAACGGGTGGGTCTCTGTGCTTTTAAATAGGCAGAGAAAAGTACCATGTTGGTCAGCATCGGGCATGTCCTCAAACACAGCTTGCCTTTCGCTGCCAATGACCAAGAGAACTTGGTAATTCATATCTCGTATTACACAGATTTTAGATCGTTTCTTGACAAAGTCGTCTGATTTCAGGTCTCCTATAACACACATTGAATCATTAATGGTAAGTTGTTTTATTAGATCCACAGACACACCTAGTAATTCTGTTTGTGGAGTCAGCACAACCCTCTGCTCTAGAAGCAGCAATGAGCAAGTTCCCCTGTTGAGCTTCACTGTGCTCCTAAGAGCACACGGGGTTTCCTGATTGCACTCGGAACTACTCTTTCTCCAAAGGTTCGAGTATTTTACTTCCTGGCCAGTCTCCTTTGTGTTCTTACACTTTCCTTCCCACTGTCCATGTTCTTAGATATCACAAAGCCCTGTAGTCTCCTTCCTCTGGGACCTCTTCCCTAGCTGATCTTCTGCCTGCCCTTCCCTTCATAACTGTGCCTAGTAGTGCTTCATTATACACTACTATAATGTTATACTACTATAATGTTAGTACCTTAAATCCTTAATCAGATGCAAGGCGGTGGTGCCCACACTTAATCCCAGCACTCGGGAGACAGAGGCAGGCAGATCTCTATGAGTTTGTGCCTGGTTTACAGAGCTAGTGCCAGGACAGCCAGGGCTACACAGAGAAACCCTGCATTGAAAAACTAAAAACCAAACCAAAACAACGAACCCCTCCCCAAAAAAAACAACCCCCCCCAAATCCTCAACCTACTTATGCAAATATGAGAGCTATGCCAGCACAGGCTGTCAATTGCCAGTCCTTGTTTCTGGTTGAGCTCTGTCTCTCACAACTGCAGTTTCAAGTCTNTCTCTCTCTCTCTCTCTCTCTCTCTCTCTCTCTCTCTCTCTCTCTCTCTCTCTCTCGTTGTGGATTATTCCTTTATTCCTTTACACTGTGTGAAGATGTGTCTTTGTGATTGGTTTAATAAAATGCTAAATGGCCAATAGCTGGCAGGAGGTATAAGGGGGACTTCTGGACAGAGAGCTCTGGGAGGAAGAAAGGTAGAGTTGCCAGGTGGAGGCTGAGGGAACAAACATTCAGGAGGAGAGAGAAAAGCCATGAGTCACATGGTAACACATAGATGAATAGAAATGGGTTAATTTAAATTATTAGAACTAGTTAGGAACAAGCCTAAGCTAAGGCCAGGCTTTCACAATTAATAATTGTTTGGGTGAAAATGTCACCCCTGCCTCTATTTGGGTGTAAAGTTCATTTTTAAGCCCCCCCCCCCGGGAGCTGCCTCTGTCTAGACTCCATCTTTGAGAAAGTCTGCCAAATGATGACCCCTCCCCAGAGATGCGCAAGACCACTCCCACAGGGTATTTAAACTGCCCCCCCCCCCCCCCCCCCCCCCCCCCCCCCCCCCCCCCCCCCCCCCCCGCCCCCCCCCCCCCCCCCCCCCCCCCCCCCCCGGAGAACAAACATGTGGTTTCCTGGTCTTCCTTCCCCATCTCCTCTCTGAGGGCCTGGAAAGCCATCCAGGAGTGCTGGCATCCATTAAACCTGGCCTTTTTCTAATTCAGTTTGATTTGGTCTGATTTGGACCATTGGGTCAGTGGAAAGCTTTATAGGGATGCAGAAACTTTTCAATAATGTCTCTATGTCATTTTTGTGAGCTGGCAACCCCCAAAAATCCATCTATTCTCTCTATATCTATATCTACATATTTAAATTATATATGTATATAATTTATTTATTTTTCAATACAGGGCCTTTTTGTATAGTCTTGGAAGTCCTGGAATTTTCTCTGTCGATCAGGAATGCCTCGAACTTAGAGATAAGTTCCCAAAGTGCTGGGATTAAAGGTATATTCCACCACACCAGGCTAGGGAATTATCTCTTGCTAGTACTCTTATAAACTCAGTGGAAGGACCATTTAGGCTTTGATTTTCCAACCTGAAGTTCTGCTCCCAAGATTTTATTCTGAATAAACAGTCAGACACATGTGCTGATGCTGTTGTACAAGAATGCTGCTGGGTGTGCTGCACACTCGTGACCCTACACTCGGGAGGTGAAGGCAGGAGGGTCACAGTTTGAGGGCAGTCCAGGTGATTCTCGGTTAGTGTAGGCTACATAATAGCAACCAGTGTCAAATCAAACCAGACAACAGAAATATAATCAGCAGAAGTAAGACAGAAACAACCTAAGTCAGTTAGCCGAGGAATTCAAGTTTTAATATGCTCACCCATAGAATTACCTGAATATAATGCAACTGTAATTATTAACTACCCCCTGGACATCTCTATGGACAGTTTTCCCCAGCAGACAATAGACGTGTCTAAGTATCTTCTAATTTGCAAAGAGAGAAAAATAAATTTATACTTTACCATCATCTTCAGCTAAAGGGAGGAATAGAGAAATATAATATATTAAATTATATCCTTCAGCTCATCATGTCCCCTCCCCTCACTTTTAAACTCTGTTCTTCCTTCCATTACCCCCCCCCCTCCCCTCCTTTTCACGGTCTTACTAAAATGCTCTGGCTGCCTTCCAACTCACTTTGTAAACCAGGTGTCCTCCAACTCACAGATATTCACCTGCCTCTTCTTCTTATGTGCTAGGATTAAAGGCATGTGACACCATGCCTGCCCCCATTCCTCACCCCTAAACTCTGTATAATGGTGATGGGCTCTGTTGACCTCCATTAGGAATATCACATGGCGAGCATTCAGGAGCCCATAAAATTAAGCTTATTAGGGTTTGTGTGTACACAAGTATGTTAGGTTTAAACTTAAATCTAGGGCTAGAGAGATGATCAAGTTCTTAAAACACTGACTGCTCTTCCAAAGGACCACGGTTCAATTCTCAGCTCACAACCTTCTGCAACTCCAGTTCCAGGGGATCCACACCCTTTTATGGCCTCCAAGGATACTGCATGCACATATTGCACAGACATACATGCAGGAGAAACAAGTACACACATAAAATAGTAATAATTAACATTTTAAATCCAGGATTTGTAATTTCAGTACATAGCTAAAGTATTTTTTAATAAAGTGGCAAACTTTCCTTTTATGCTTATTGTTTAAATACAAGACATCTAAGGATTTTCCATGAAGCTTCCAAAGAAAGCTGAACTTTCAGTGAAGTCAAGTTTCCCAAGGAATCTTAGAAGGATTATTATTTTTTTTGGTCAAATCTATTAACATGAATGGTGTAGACAGAACTCTAGGCCTAGAATCTCATAAATTGCATTTGTTTTGGGAAGCAGTTTTTCCTCAGTGGTACATTTTCATGAGGGCACCAGACACCATTTTGGTGACAAACTGCTGGAGTGTCAACTCAGGACGTGGGGCAGGGCACTGGAGCTAGGAAATCCGTTTTGTTTTTTAGCAGTCTTAGTGTGTCATTGACATTTCAGTAGAATTTGATGACAAATAGGAATCCAAGCTCACTTCTTGATTTCATTTCTAGTTGAAAATCTGTACCCGAGACCCACATTTGTCTTAATCGTTTAGACTTACGTGTAAAGTAGAGTGTGTTGTCAATAAATGCCATTTCCCTGAAGTTGATGCATGAGCCTTCTTCCAATATGGCAGACAACATTATTCTAAGGAAAGCAAAGAGTCACCCATGAAGAGGCAGAGATTGCTCTTTGTACACATAAAATGAACAGACCTCTTACCTTCTTTTTTTTTTTAGATTTATTTTTGTTTGCATGTATGTCTGTGCACCACAGGCATGCAGTTCTCATGGAGGCCAGAAGAGAGCATTGGATCCCCTCCAACTGGAGTTACAGATGGTTGTGAGGCACCATGTGGGTGCTGAAACTGAACCTCAGTCCTCTGGAAGAGTAGCCAGTGCTTTTAATGGTTGAGCCATTTCTCCAGCTCCTTAATACTGCCTTCTAAACCTTCGCATTGGAAAGTCATTTATCATTCAGTATGCTGATGGAAACTGTGATGTTTAATACATGTGAAGCAGGAGTCTGTAGCATGCATGTTTATGTTCTTTACAAACCCTTAGCTATTTGGAACCAGGCGAATGCTGTTTCATAATATTTTAAAGGGTGACTCCTAGCGAATACTGGCTAGGAGTGCTATGAATCCCTAGTGAAAATATGGCTCCCTAGTGAATGATTAGTTTTGTGTTAACTGGGGATGCTAGAAATACTGGGGACCAGTTCTATCTGAACTGAAAAGCCAGTGGCCTCCTGTAGATGAGATGCTGAAGGTTCGTGACCTCACTGCTACAGTGGTAAAGAAGAGGAGGAGACAGAGGTGGCATTTCCACCTGGTGTTTGGGGCAGGGTGGGGGAAAGCAGAGAGGTTCTGACATTTGGTGGGTTTCCTCCAAAGGCAGCAGCAGCTTTTGACCTGAAGTCTGGCTTGTCTGTGTTTGTGCATGAGCATTACATAAACATGATGTTTCTGCAAAAATCTCTGTGTATTTGCTTTCCCCCTTTGCCTCACCCTACTCTATATTTCTATGTATATGTCCTTCCAGAATTTTGTCACGGGGTAAGGGTTTGCCATGGAGTCCTAAGTATGAGAAATCTGTGACTTTGGGGAGAAAAACAAGACATATTTATTCTCATTTATTTCTAAGCTGAAATGTAGCCCTCCTCCTGGGGTTATGAAGGAACAAACCACAGTGCCTTGACCCTGCTACTAGTTGAAATGCTCACTTATTAGCAGCCATTGTAGGTCCCAGGAGTCTTGAGATGGTTTAAGCTTTATCACCTGAAATTTCTTTAGTAGATCTTGTTGCTTTATGTATCAATTAGGAGCACAAAAAACAGTACTTTTTTTTTACAAGAATGGTCTGGAGTTCAAGGCTATGTAGTAAGATGCTACCTAAGGCCCTGCCTCAAAAACCGCCTCCTTGGCTTTTAATAACTATCTAATTTAATGAGTTTCCTGCATGTACTTTAATGTGTTGATGACGAACTTGATGAAAGCAGCCTCCTCAGGTCTCTCTGGTCCTTCCCGTGGTTACTGGAAGGTTCTCTTGACACCTTCCTCTCCTGAAGTAGCAAAGAGACTTCTCTGAATTTCTCTGTTTCCTGAAGGCGGGTCCACTAAAGAGGAACACAATTACCTTCAATCATTGACTTCTCTGTTTTTCCCTATAGAGATGGGG